TATATTAACACTGTATTCCATGCAGATAATCCATAGTAAATACTTGGCATTAGAAGACAGTTAAAGTGCCTTTAGTTTCCCCCCAATAGTCCAACTGTGCTGTAAATTCAAGTATATGGAAAAGAGGCATTTAGTTATTAAGAGAAAGTAGCTGAGCCGGGTCCTGCTCCCCTTGATGTCAGCAAAGCAGGGGCTTAACCCCCAGCTTTGTTAGGCTGAACCCAGTGAACAGCCCCTTTTAGAGCTCTAAAATACACCGAGCAATCAATATCCACACGTGCATGAGGCGGTTGGCTTGGAAGGAAGCCCAGATGATCCGTTCATCTGACTCTAAAGGAAAACTTGAATGTTTGGCCGCGGAAGCCACACGATTGAAAGCAGAATTCAGCCCGTTTTATGGCAGAGCTGTGTTCCTGCTCTGACACTCGAGACTAGCAAGATGAACCAGCACCTTGAAGCCAACGGTGTTGCACAGATGGGACAGGAGTATTGATTCCAATGCATTGTAATTATTGCAGCCAGCATTAAGCATCGTAATTGAGCCCAGACTCATCTCCGCCGTTTGCTTCAATATTAGAGCAGTACTTGGTGGTGGTAAAGATAGTTTTAGTCTTTCCTCTAGACATCAGCACCAGAACCGTCTCCCCCAACCAAGTCCCGTGTGAAGAAGATCCAGAGAAGATTGCTCTGCTGGCGCGCTGGCCTCCCACATGTGAACACAAGCTAGACCTCCCCATGAAAGGCAGGACCGGTTTTATTTTCCCCCACTTAAGACACAGCCTGGAAGTGGCTCAGGAGCAGAGGCAGCTCCTGAGCAGGTCCCTCATGGGTTCTGCTGGGACTAGGGGTTGAAAATACTCAGGGTCTACACGGGACTATGGGCAGTAACGTCTTGATCTATCCTGCCACAGAGCTGGTTTATGACTCCGAGCTGTGAACGTTGTGCTCTGCCTAACCCTGAGCTCTGCCTGGTGACATCCCCACACCCTACCCTTCAGTAGAAAGGGGACAAAACTTCTCCTAGACATCCAAACAAGAGCCTGTCTACTCTTTATTTTTATTTAACTCTATCAAATTTATTAACTTGGCATTTCACAATTGACGGACCTTGACTGGTATTTTCAGCGGGTAAGACGGGAGGAGAAATACCCTAAAAACCTGGCTAGGAACGTTAAGAATAATAGTCAAACCAAGGCTATTATTTGAAAGCATTTAAATAGGGAGAAACTTCCCCACCAGTTTATAACCCTTTCAAAGCAGATTGGATCTGAAGCAAAAACTAAATGGCAGGGTGCTTTGGAATTCATCCTACTTGAGGGAAACGGGGAGGAAACAAGCTGGCAGCTGAAAGCTTTACTTAGGAATAATGTTTATCTTCAAAATATCTCCAAAGAGAGACTGTGTGGGCCACAGCAGCTTGGCACAACTCAGGCTGACTTGCCCTCTTTGAGTGTTTTGGTGTCTTTAGGCCATAATAAGATGCAGCCAAAGTCTCCCTATGGACTATGTGTGAGGAAGTATAATCTGGGGCCTAAATGCCACGGAGCATCCATATTTATCTTCAAACGCTATATAAATTCAGCAGATGAGAAGGAAAACCTTAATTAGACAGACCCTGCCTTTGGCAGTAATCATCCTCAGTGACAGCTGAACCAGCCTGTGGATAAAACACGTACCAAACATGATATGAGAATAAATAACTGAGGATCAAGAAGGATTTAAAAAAGAACAGAAAAAAAAATCCATACAGCCCACACCATTTTTGATTTGCTGGGGGAAGGAAAACCTGACCTTACGCTGGCCTTTGGACACTGTCTATGTTTTTGTTCGTTTAATACAAACTTTCCTCAGCTTAGGGCCCAATCCTGCACCAGCCAGTGTCTCTGGAAGTAGGAGAGGATCTTTCTGAAGCATAGGCATTAATTCTGATTATAGAAAACCCTGAGAGGTCTAGCATTGAAGTCCTTAAGGAGGCTCGGATCGTGGAATCATCATATCAGTACCAATCCGGACCAGGAGTCTACTATAGAGGTCATCAAATATCCACTGACTTCAGTGAGTTTTAAACACTATGATGTTAACGTCACTTTATCACTTTATTTTAGATTGTGAACTGTACCATGGCTTGTATGCCTTCGTTCTTTATTTATGTGAAATTCCCATAAAATACGAGCTTGGATTTACTTCAGGATTTAAGCCTTGGGAGAACACTGCTTTTGATAGTGCTCTATCTCTATCCCCTCTCGTTGAAAGCTTCTCTGTTCCTGCTGGATTAGTGGCGGTGCCAAAGGAATCTAAGATTTTTCACCCTCTGACTCCTTTCGGTTAAGGGTCATGGTCAGTAATTTAGCAACATAATTAGATGCTGGAAAGCGCTTCAAAGCCATTTGTTAACAGATAACCTGCAGGTGAATCTTCCATAGGGCTTTGTCCTTAAAATGGGTAAGATTTCCCTTCTCCCGACACATCCAGCGCTTTGGTGCTAGACTCCAGGCAGAATCCGAGGTCGCGACTTGCTGCCTTTGCTTGAGGCTCTGCCGGCTCCTGAGCAATCCAGGCAAGCGACGTCCTCACCTTGCCCTCACTCATCCTTCTCGATGCTCTGAGGGGTCTTTTTCTTCCAGTCGTTCTTTCTTTTCCAACAGGGGAAAGACTTTGCAAGAGAATAGCCGAGGACTCCGGCGCTCGGGCGGCGGGACGTGGAGGACGCAGGGGAGGAAGCGCTCAGCACTGCTCTGCCTCTACAAAGCCCTCCTTCTCGTGCCCGCCGGGCTCCACCTCGGAGTACGTTGCACGGCTGGTCTGATTCCGGAATTTCATGGCAGGCCAGTGGTGTGGCCTTCGCTGTGGACAGAAACAAAGATCCATCAGAAGCTCTGACAGAGCCTTTCACTCTGAGCCAGCTGGGGAGTTTGAAACCCAGTCCTGAAACAGAAAACAAAACAGTGCTGTCTTTGTGACAGCTCAACGTTTTATTAATAAAACCACTTCATGCTTAAAGAGCATTGCAATGCATTGATCTCACTGAACGGGCCCCCTAATAAGGTTAAAAGGAGGAGCAGGAGGAAGCGGAAACTGCAAGTGACTTCTCAGGTCAGTCTTGGAACAAGGATGGCCTGTGCCTGGCTTAACAGCCAMGCTCGGCCCCTGGCTTCCTGGGTCACCCCAGACAAACCATCTCTCCGTGGCTCTCCTCTTTAGCAGCAAAACAGGGAGGAGAGATGCGTTAAATATTGCGAATTGTTCAGGTACTGAACTGAGAGGGGCCAGATAGATCAATCCAGATCAATTCTCTGAAGCCTGGCTCTTCAAATAGACAGATGGAGGGAAGACGAGTGCGGTAGGAAAAAGCCAGAGAGCGACAGGGAAAGGCCACATGTTGCTCCCTCCCTCCACAGCGGTTCCCGTGCCAGGATTCAGCCCGATTCCGCCTGCCTTTGGGCAAGCAGCCTTTGGGCTCTTAGCAGCAGATGGAGATTGTCAGACCCCCCGTCTTTCTGAGAATTAAACCCTTGCATTTAGAGCATTCACCCCCCCGCTTGCAAATGAGCTGATGGCGTAACATCTATCAGTTAACTCTGACAATTTTAGTCAACCCAATCCAGCTGGGCAATTCAAGAGGCAGCAGTTTCAATTATGCCGTAGCTCCGACCGAGCCCTCCAGCCAAGCTGTGTGCGTGTGGACGAGGCTGCCGTGGCGTGGGGGGAAAGGCAGCACGTGAAAGGCAGCGTATGAACGAGTGCAACATGAAATGTGGGTGGAGGAGGAGGAAAACACCACCAGCAACCACCTGCAAGCTGATGTTGTTGCGCTGACAGTAGCAGAGGGAGAGGAAACGGCCTGTGATAAGGCTCTCCGCTCACCTCAATGAAGAACAGGGCGGCATTTGACGTGGGATGGCTGTTGATATAAATCCCAGCAAGGATAATAGTGGCAATGAGCAGCGCGGCCAGCACGATCCCCACAATCGTGCCTGTATGGATGGGGGTTCCTGCCTGCTTCGAGCTGAGGCTGCTTCCCGCACCTGCAAAGAGAGGATTCTGTTGAGGCTGGAATCACAGAGGTCTTGGTAAAAGGAAGGACAGAAACAAGAAGCCTTTTTTTTCCTCTCTCTTTAGAGCCCTGCTTGAAGCACCGAGCAACTTCTCCCACTGCTGGCTAGCTCAAGAGGTGAGTAAGTGAGCTAGGCCCACGAGGAGCATCACACACACATGACATCTTGGAATATCATCCCTAAATAACACCTAAAAATAATTCACGTGAGTAAGTTCTTGCCTCTAGACCAATCTTGGAATATCATCCCTAAATAACGCCTAAAAATAATTCACGTGAARTAAGCTCTTGCCCTGAATTTATTGTCCGAGCTGCAGCATCAGACGGTGTCAATGGCTGGTTTAAAAGAAGATGAAACAACTACCCCCCAGCAACCACCCCTCCCGCCCCCTGCATCTATATTCTTCATATATAGGATGCTCAGTCGGGTAGAAAGCCATTAGCCATATGCTGAGCGTGTCCTTAGCACGCCTTGCCCGCAGCCTTCCAGCTTGCCTTCATTCCTTGGCTATGAATATTCAATCGCACAGAGCTACAGAGGGCGGATATAGCATATATTAAGAGCGACATTACCAGCCATTTGGGGAGCAATTTGGCTGAAACGGGGCAGGTTGTGGATTTCAAAGCCCCTCTGCCTGCAGAGGAACTGCTCCTATGCCCAGTTCAGCCAGTTTAACTGCTGGGAGCTGCTTTCAGCTAAGAGGGACGGGCCCGTGGTTTGCATTTGCCCGCAGTGCTTGGGAACGTGACACCAGAGGCAGAAGCGCTCCGATCCTGCCCATGTTCTGGAATGAGCAAGAGCACTGTGGCAACAGTTCCCTTCTCCGTCCTTGGGGCTGATTCGCTCCGATTGAGAAGGGATTTGCTAGAACAGAGGTGGAAAAAAACAGAGGACACTTTTTATATTTGGCTTTTACACTGCTCTTTGGCATAGCAGGGGAACTCCAAAGCAGCAGCAGGACTTTGCAGCTACGCAAAGGAGGAGAATTGCATCAGAAAGACAAAAACGTATCATCATCTTAGTTCACCTGTCAAGTCTGAGAAGGTGGCAAAAGCAGAAAACCAGCATCAGGCTGGAACAGATTGGTCTCACTTTTCACAGGCTGAGCTGGTATTAATCAGGGTGAGGACAAAGGATTTTTGTCTTGATTGCATCCTTCAGTCTCAGTCTCCTGCGCGCTCTGATCACAACTCCCCGACACATTTGATTTCAGCGTAACATGTTCTCACTTAGGARGGACGTGAACAGGCAAAGAGAAGATTAAGGGCTTACCATCGCCTGCTGCATACTGATGGAGCTTTGTATCATCTGAAAGYACAAAATGGGGGGAAAAATTACTTAAACTTCTACTATATTCTCTGTTCTTCCCCTACTCTGTTGTTCCTGCATAACAGAAGGCCTTGGATAGGACACACTGCTCTGCACGGCGCTTATACCATCGGTGGCAATCTCACCTCTCGGTTTGATGGAGAAAGGCACCCAGAAAGCAAAACGGGAGTGACAGCAATTTCTGGGTTTCTTTGCACRTGAGGCACCTGAAGCCCAAATATCTGTCGAAATCAGTCATTAATAGGCCCAGTGTGCAACACGGAATGATAAATGGATGCTGGATGGAGCCGCAGCCTTGTGGGTGTCTATGTTCAGACTACGGCAGCTGCTGAAGCACGCTGCTAATACTGGATTTATCCCAAATAAATCAAGGGGAATTCACAGCTGTCTTCCATGGGGGCACAGACTCCAAAGCCATTCTTCATCGGACTCTGCAAGCACCAGGCTTTATTGTACGAGGCTTTATTCTCTCTGAGAGCTCACCGCAACGGAGCGCTTGAGAATCCAGCTGCAAGCCCAATCCGTCGCTTTTGCTGCTCGGCGAAGGCTCTTCCCAGGTGCCCTGCTGCTCGGACACGTCCTCCAACAGCTCCAGCTCCTTCGCTCCGCTGCTTCCCGAGCGGCGTCCTCCACACAAAGCTCGCTGCCCGATGCAGCCGGCTGCTTTGTTTCCTTCCAAGATTACAAATYGACTCCGTGCTTGAGTATGTCACAAAAAGCCTCTTGTTCTTCCAAGAATTGTCGATGGGTTGGAAAATAATCTCGGTGGTGGTGTTAGGCTCCCCCTTTCCTTTAATTGCTCCTTTCAAAGTCGGCTCTGTCAGCCGGGCGCTCCGTTCCTCCCCCCGGCCCGACTCCTTCCCGCCGCTAAAGGACAATTACTAATGTTCCTTTCTATCTCTTCTAATTAGCAGTTTGCGTTAGGGACTATTAAGCAGCGAAATTAAGCGATGCCTGCCGCTAGGACCCGAGGAGACAGCCCTGCGTTAATAGGGTTATGGAGCTGCCGAACAGGGGTGTCCCAAGGGAGAGCCGGGTYCCCGTTTGGAGCTTTCTGGTGCTGGAACGAGCCCGTTCCGAAGCCGAGGACAGCCCCGYGTCCGGACGGTATCACTGACAGGCGCACAGCCCTCGGTCGCCRGTGAGGGTGTTAAAAACAGGAGGCCCTAATTCTGGTATTAACTTAGGGCATTAGGGAGTTTTTCCGCTGGGAAATACGGGGTTTTGGTCTATCATCAACTCAGGCTGCGGTGCTGCTCTAAAGCTCTTCCCCCTTGAAGGCTGGAGCTGCCCCATTTGCCAGAGCATCTTCATCGCTCCTCTTCCTCCGTCATTCCTTGCCTTTTCCTCTGTCTTCTGTGGCCACCCCTGCCCTTGCRCTGCAACCACTGCCTAGCCAGGAACGTTACGGCGTTTTCTTGGATATTAATTGGCTTCATTAGGCATCAAAGAGCGCTCAGGAGTGAGTGCTGAGGAGGGGGTGTCCCTGCCCCAGCTGCTCGCCCCATCTGCCCCTACCTTCTGTGGTGAGGCTGCCGACGAGAAGCGAGGAAGGGGAGGTGGCGACATCCGCGCTGAAGGGCGAGAAAGAGCTGTCAGGCGGTGCCGAGTAGCGGTCATCTTCTGCTAAATCCTCGCACGTCTTCTCGTCTGACTGAAAAAAAGAAGGAGAAATGACTACTGCTCCAACAAGAGCGCCAGAGAGCTGCAGGTTAGAGCCGTGATTCCCGAGCCCTCGGGGTTCCAGGGGGAAGCAGGGGACACGGTGCAGATGTGCTAGGAGAAGCGGCAAGGGGTCACCTCGCAGTGGGGACAAATAGGTGGGAAACTTTGGGAGGCACCGGGGGCGAATGGCCGTGATGTGGCACGGTTCTCCTCTCCGGCTTCCTTGCATGACCCTAGCGTAGGTCCCGTGACGTCCCTTCCCCTCCCTCGCTCCTCTTGGTAAACATGGAACAAAGCTGAGTCCTCAGCGGGGAAAACAAAACACAACAGAGCACAAAATCCAAAGCAGAAACAGATGTTTCATTAATGCAGCTCTTCCCGAGACAAAGAAGCGAGTTCAACCAACGCAGACGCAGTTGCACTGACAAGGACAACAATCACAAGGGCTTATTTCTTCATCCTTCWGCCTCAATAACCGTCATGATTCAGAAGGTGGGAGAGGAAAAAAGCAAAGAATATCCCAGCAGACAGAGCTTGCACCCTTCGTTAACTTGCTCGGCCCTTCTGCGGCATCCACGAGCGCAGGAGCAGGACCAGCAGAGCAAGGACACGTCACCAGATGAGATGGAGCATCTGGTTGCAGAAGAGATGTGCTCTGCAAGGGGATCGTGGTGCTGCTGCAACGGGGACGGGATCTCTAAGGGGCTACTTGGTCTGTTCCAGCACGGGCCAAGTGGAGCTGGGAATGACCTTTCCAACTTGGGATCTTTTCAGCTTGGGATGCATCCCCTGCTTTTAGCTCTTAGCAGCCTCTGTACRGGACGTTCAAAATGGCTTTTACCGTCCCCCGAGCAAGGAAAACAAAACGGAAAACAAACTGTTTTGATTATGTTTTTGCACCTGTAGCTAAATGTCTCACTGTAAGAGCTGCATCGTGAGAGTGCATCGTAAGCGTCGTTATTGGCGAGCAAACTGCGCATTGCACTGGAGTCCTGTCAGCCTAGAGACCTTTATCTTACCTTCTGGCCACAGCCGTAGGCCAGCCACTCCTCCCGGTACCGATCGAACCCGCTGGAACATCTGCAGGGAGGAACAACGGGAATTTGCAGCGGAAAAACCCCGCGAGCCCCGGGCAGCCAGGCGCGCGGCGGGCGAGCGGCRATGCCCGTCCGAGCCCTCTCCGTGGCTGTCGTGGCCAGCGGGCATTTCCAAGCTGCCTGTAGATCCCAAACGACGGGCACTGAGTAAAGACACTGAGACAAACAAATACCAAAAGCCTRGGAAGATGATACACAAGTTGGTCTCCAAAGACAAGGGCTTTCCAATACAGCTGTGCTGGAAGGACCCAAATGTTCCTCTTTATAGAGAAGGAAAAGGGTCAGCGCTGCTTCTCCAAGGGAAACAGGCACAGAGAAATAGGAAAAAAATATAGAGACCGAGTTGGACTTTCCRTTCTCTGGACTCGGTGCCAGAGCAAGGCCAGATCTCCGTGACTTTTTTTTCCAGCGACATCTGCACAGCAAAAGCAACAGTAAAGAAATTACAGGCTGCATCAAGAAAACACCAGCTAGGGAAATCTCTACAGAAACCACGGGAATGAAACAAACCCCTGACCTTTGCAAAGCCTCTGGGACTACCCAGAGATGAATCAGGGGTTCAGCTCCTCGATGCGGTCATTTACCCAGCRACCAGCCAATAACTGAGGTGAAGCCACGAGATCTCGCGGTCCTGCTGAGCCACCGAGCGCTTTTGTGCTGACGCAGAGCGATCAGCAAAGCAACGCTGCGAGCCGCACTGCTAAAAACAAGCTAAAAGGAAAACCTGGCCTTAAATCATAGAGCTGGGCTCAGCATAGGAGTTCAAATCCTACCAGCCTCCTTGGAAAAAATCACGTTGGCTTTGCAAATGCAGCCTCGTTGCTCTGGGTTTGCAAACGCAGCCTCGTTGCTCTGGGTTTGCAAATGCAGCCTCGTTTCTCCGGGTTTGCAAACGCAGCCTCGTTTCTCCGGGCTTGCAAACGCAGCCTCGTTTCTCCGGGCTTGCAAATGCAGCCTCATTGCTCTAGGTTTGCAAACACAGCCTCGTTGCTCTGGGTTTGCAAACGCAGCCTCTTCAAGAGCGAGCTGCCCACGTGCAGTTTTGGCTGCAGGAAGCAGGTATTTCAGCCGAGCTCCCCAGCAGGAACCGTGACACACGCGCTCAGCGCAAACACAAGCAGCTGTGCCCTCGGATCTGGAAGAGGGGCCTTGCCGTGCCGTGGATGCGGAATGAGGAYGTTCCTGAACACCTGGGTTTCCGACCAAGCGAGATCCAGACGGACGCGCTGCATCCCGGCCTCGGTTTTGCTACCCAAGGCACATCTGGTTCCGCACACCTCCCAGCTGCGAGGACATAATATCCTCTCATCGGAGGCCACCAGCTGAGCAACTGTCACTGAAAAATGATGTTCCCCTGGCTCTGGTGATATTCCAGCCCCAGCCCRCTGAGAGGCAATGAATCAACGCTGATTTATAGGGCAGCTTCCCTGATAGCTCAGGAGCCTTCTCTGCTCCAGCTGCCGCGGACAGACCTGCTGAGGCCTCGCTGGAATTGTTGCATGGAAGACAAGAGCATCAAGGTCCCGAGCGAGGCGACGGAGAAGCGATAGGGACAGGAGCCAAGTGGGTGCCCTGGGGAAGGGGCTCGGAGGATTCCCGAAGCAGGGACGTGGCCGCGCTGCCGGTGAGGATCTGTGTTACCAGGTCCTCTCCCCTGCCACTAGCCCCAAATAAATATTCCAGCAAAAAGCAAAGACCTCATTAAACTCCCACAGGCTCCTCTCGAGCTGCAGGAGGAGCGAGACCAGACCTCCTTGGCCCAGGCGTGATGAAGCGTCCCCAGGTTCTCCATTTACCCCCAAAACTGAGCCCAGACCACCGCCTGCAAGCCGGCCCCGCGTCCCCAGGAAGAGGAGCCCTGAAGGCGCGCGGCGAGGCCGGCTACCTCTGCAGGACGTGGCACCAGGTGCAGTTGAAGGCCAGCTCGGAGCGCTCGCACGTTTCGCAGCTCCCGTGCTGCAGACAAGCTGCGGAAGAGAGAGGAGACGCGGGGCAGCGCCGGGAAGCGGCACCGGCACCGAGTCGCGTCCGGCTCCGGCTCGGGAATGGGCTTGGAGGACGAGTCCGGCWGGAGGGATCGGGGCCCTCCCTGACACCCTCCCTGGGAAAGGGACATTTTTGCAGCGTTTTCAACATGTCCCGGGGAGACCCCGATGGCTGATCCCGGGTCTGTGCAGCCAGGGCTCCTTAGGCGACTCTGCTCAACCACCCCAACTGCTGTAGAGGGGAAAAAAGCAACTCTTAGGGAAAAAACTCATACTGCAGGCTGCRTATTTATGACTTGCCTTGCAGTAACCCCGCTGGCTGTTAAAACTGCCATGAAACGCCCCGAGGAGATGGCAGCAGCGCCCGGCGCCGGGGCGCTCCTGGCAGATGCGCTCGCCGCGGGTGCATTGGAGAGGAGCGGGCTCCCCTCTAAATGACACCCCAGGCCCCAAGGCGGTGACGGGTGGCAGCGCCAGGGCYGTTCCCTTGCGAGGGACGGGGGACACGGCACGGCGGCGGGAGCCCCCCCGGCGGCCCCGCTTACTGGGCAGCGGGGTGAACTCCACGGCCGACAGGCTGGCGATCTTGCCGGCGTCCAGCTCCACGCGGTGGTACTCGTAGATGGTCCGGCGGCGGGACTCTGCAACCGGGCAAGCAGAGAGACAGAGCTCCTGCTTTCCRAGGAGCAGCCTGGAGCTGCGCTGCTCCTGCAGGGATTCTCCCCGCGTGGATGCGCTCCAGGCCCGTGCGGAGCGTCCACAGCACATTGCTCGGCCGTGACTCACGGCCTGGAGCCTCCCCGTGCAGTGCCGAGCTCCTGCCCCGTTCCCGCTGCATTCCCAGCCCTTCCCAGCCGCCTTTCCYCGCGGCGTTCCCCGCTCACCGGGCACGTCGGGAGCCGGGTTGAGGATCATGAAGGCGTCGGAGAGGCCGGCCTTGACGGGGTGCTGCGTGGCGCTGATCCGCAGCACCGGCACGGGGATCTGCAGCCGGGGAGAGCGGGCGCCGTGGGGCCGTGTCCCCCCAGGGACTGCAGCCCATGGACCACGTCCGTGCGCTATATCCACATGCACTATATCCATACATGGACTGTCCCCACACACGTGCACTCTGTCCAAGCGACCCAGCCCGGGTGGCCCGAGATCCCAAGCGGAGTCTACGCGGAGGCTCCATCCCTCACCTCCTTGTAAGCGAACACGATCCTCCCGGTGCGGTGCAGGGCGGCCTGGAAGGTGAAGCTGCCCACGTCCTCCTTGCCCTGCAGGTAGACCTTGTCCCACTGCACCACGAAAACGGTCCCTGGGGAGACACCGGGGCGGGTCAGCGCCGCTCGCCCTCCTCGAGTGCCCGAGCAGCGGCCRGGAGCAGTGGGGTCTCCTCCTGCTCGCCCAGCGCGCTCGGAGCTGCAACCGCATCCCCAGCGTCCCCGCATGGTCCCCGGCACCCCGGCGGCTCCGGCGGCTCGCGGGCGGCGCGCGGACGCGGCGGCGCTCACCGTTGTCCCAGTAGCGCACGGTGGAGTCGCGCGAGTAGCTGGGGTTGAAGTTGGCCATGAGCGGCGCCACGTACTGCGTGGCCGTGAGCATGCGGTGCACGACGTCCCCCGTGAAGATGAAACCTGGGCGGGCGGGGAGGGCGCTGGGCGACGGGGCCGCCCCGCGCGTCCCCCGCGCCGCCCGCCGCGCGCCTCCGCTCACCTCCCGTGGCCACGGTGACCTGCCGCAGGAGGTGGCCGTAGAAGGGGAAGTCAAAGGAGAGGGTGACCCTCTGCGGGAGGAGACGGCGTGAGCCCCGCGGGGACCCCGGCAAAGGCCCGCGGGGACCCTGGTATCGCCTGGCGGCTCCGCTGTCCCCTTCAGCAACCCATGGAGAGGGCAGAGGAGCCGGCTCCCTTTGGACGCTCCGCGGACACGTGGGGCTTGGGGAAGGCGACACTCTTCCCAACCCTTGGTGTCTACCAGGGCATCGCGGCCAGGGGCTCGGGGAGGCGGGATGCCCGCGGGACGGGCCGGGAGGCGCCGCGGGGCTCACCGAGGCCTGCCGGTGCGTGTTGGAGAGGATCCCGTGGATCTTCACTTGGCTCCCGTTGCCTGCGGCCAGGTCCACCCAGAGGCGGCGGGCGGCCGCGTCGCCCGGCCCGTAGCTCCGCGACACGTAGTAGCTGTGATCGTCCTCCTGCCGCGCCACGGGACGGGCTCGCAGAGGAGCCGGCCACCCCGGCGTGTTCCCCGCGYCCCCATCCCGCGCCCATCCCAGTGTGTTCCCAATAAAACGGGGCCGGACACAGAGGCGCCAGCTGCCAAGCCCCTGACCTCACTGCTGACTCACGGGGACGTCCCGATCCCCGTCCCGATCCTGATCCCCATCCCGATCCCGATCCCTGATTCACACGGACGTCCCGATCCCCGTCCCGATCCTGATCCCCATCCCGATCCCTGATTCACACGGACGTCCCGATCCCCGTCCCGATCCCCGTCCCGATCCTGATCCCCGACTCACAGGGATGTCCCGATCCCCATCCCGATCCCCATCCCGATCTCGATCCTGCTGCCTCTGGGAGCAGCACGTTGGTGTCTGAGGCTGCTTGGGCTATTTTGGGCACTTCCACACAGGCGAATTTCCAGCTCCAGCCCTGCCAGGACACCCCTTCTCCCRACAGCAGGACTTGCTTGGGAGCACCCCGCTTATCCCTGGCTCCTCCTTTCCTGCCCAGCTTTACCTGCCCCCAGCTGCTCTTTCTTGCTCGTTCCCCCTAATTTCTCCTCCCTTATCCTGGTGTGAAAACCTTCCTTCCTGTATCCACCTTGCAGCCCGCTGTCCAACACTCCTTGTGCAGACCCGGCTCCGAGCGGAGCCTCCCGGCGGAGGCTGCCCCGGCATTCCCGGGAGATGCCGCGTGTCACTCACCACGACGCGGGCGCCGCGGGGGGGCAGCGTGTCGATGGCCAGGCCGCCCCCCCCCAGCTCCGTGCCCAGGCGCCTCCCGTCGTCGCTCTCCCGGTCTCGGCGCTGCCCCTCGCCCGGCGCCGGGGTCCCGGGGGGGCGTCCTGGGGGGGCGCGAGGAGGGGGGGGTCACCGGCTGCTCTGCTTGGGGCRGGGGGGGGTCCCAGCCGCCCCTTGGGATTAACTCTGCCCCTGCTCCAGAGCAGTCGCCACTGCAAAACCGGGGCTGCCCCAAGGCGGATCCTACTTAGGTGAGCTGAGCCTGGGGGGTCTCAGCCCCTGCGCAACGACAGGGATGGGGGTAAAGGCGTGTGGGGTGCAGCGAAGACGAAAGCAAGGAAAACCAGGCACCCCCCGCCCACCCTCCCCGAGGGGGCAGCCCCCGCCTGGCCCAGACAGCGACAGGGACACCAGTGTCACTTGGAGCGCAGCATCCCCGGCCGAGATGGRAGGAATCGAACTGGCAGCTCTGGGCGCTGCCAGCGGCAGCCCCTGCTCCCGGCGCGGTGTCCCCAGGCACCGGTGTCCCCAGGCACGGTCCCCTCCCCGTGGCACCTCTCATGGGCTTGGGGACAGGCTCCCTGTGCAGGGCGCGCCAGGTCTCAGTGAGGAGGCGTTTGGTGCCTGGTGGAGCAGAGCCCTTCCCTTGGGGATGGAGTGGGAGCCGGAGCTCCAGGCGGCTCCGGCTCCTGCCCCAGATCCTCCCTGGAGCAGGAACTCGCTGCTCCAGCACAGCCAGGGCTGGACATGGCGAGGGCGCCGGGACGGGGCAGCCAGGGGGTCCCGGGGGCATCAAGGGGACCCCGGGGCGGACACAGGACACAGCCASGGGGTCCTGGCACAAGCACAAGCAGCGGGTCCCGGGGCAGCAAGGGGGCYTGGGACCCCCCGGGTCCTGGCAGGGGCCAAACGAGGTGCTCCYGGGAGCCTCAAGGAGGGTCTCGGACGAGCACAGCCAGGGGGTCCTGGGTGCAACAGGGTGGTCCTGCCTGCAGCCAGCGCGTCCCAGCATATCTAAAACCAGGGCTCCCAGGTGCAGTGGGAAGATCCTGGGCACAACCAGGGGGTCCTGCGTGCACCAAGGGGGGAGTCCCAGGACAGGCACAACCCGGGGTGGGGCGGGGGGTCCCGTGTGCAGCCAGGGGGTCCCGTCCCCCCCGCGCTGCAGCGATGCCAGGGGCCGGAGCAGCCCGCAGCGCCCCCGGCCCCGCGCCCCCGGCCGCCCTACCTGCGCCCAGCGCGCCGCGCAGCAGCCAGAGCAGCAGGAGGCCGCGGCAGCGCATGGTGCGCGCGGCGCAGCCCCCGCGCAGCCCCGCGCAGCCCCGCGCAGCCCCGCGCAGCCCCGCGCCGCGCACCGGGGGAGGGACCGGGGGTGGGGCCGGCCGCGGCGGGAGCCCCGGGCGGGAGGGAGCCGGGAGGGAGCCGGGATAGAGCCAGGGAGGGAGCCGAGAAGGAGCCAGGGAGGGAGCCGGGATGGAGCCAGGGAGGGAGCCGAGAAGGAGCCAGGGAGGGAGCCGGGATGGAACCAGGGAGGGAGCCGGGATGGAACCAGGGAGGGAGGTGGGATAGAGCAAGGGAGGCAGCCGGGATGGAGCCGGGATGGAGCTGGGGAGGGAGCTGGGAAGGGAGCCGGGAGGGGGCTAGGGAGAGAGCTGGGATGGAGCTGGGGATGGAGGGAGTGTGGATGGAGTCAAGGTTGGAGCCGGGCTGGGGACGGAGCTAAGCCAGAGATGGAAACAGGGACAGACCCACGGACAGACCCAAGACGGACCCAGGGAGGGAGCCGGGGTTGGAGGCAGCGACAGACCCAGGGATGGAGGCAGAAACGTACCCAGGGCTGAAAGCAGAGGCAGGGACAGAGGTGGCACCAGACCTAAGGCCGAGGCTGGTGGCAGAGCCGGCGCTGGGGCTGTTGAAGGACCCCGGCCGCCTCGCGGGGCTCCCCCGGCCTCTCCCCAGGCTGCCCCTGCCCCCAAACTGCAGCTCTCACGCACACGGGTGCCCCTCTGGGCCCGGGTGCATCTGCCCGCGGAGCCGCCTGCCCCTTTGTGGCCCCCCGCGGCCCCTCTGCCCCGGCAGCACGGACGGGGGGGACGATTCTCGCCCACCTTGTGCCCCACACAGCCTCCCGGTGCCYGTGATCCGCAGCAATAGCAGCAAAGCCCGGTGCCTGCAGCACCCCCAAAGCCCGCTCGCCTCCCCACACGAGAGCAGGGAATTCTGTGGGAGGGAAGAACCCCCCGTCTCTCCCTGCAGCCCCTGCAGCAGCATCTGTCCTGGGGTCCCCCCAGTGCATGTCCTGATGGTCACCAGCCCCCATGTGGGGACAAGTGGCCCCRATGGCCGCAGGACCCCTGCTCAGGGTGCCCCGGACCTGTAGCCCCTCTCTGCCACCCCATGCAGCATCCCCACRTGCTGCAACGCGCCGGTTTCCCGCCCCCATCGTGTTTTCCCCCGTGTAAAACACTGAGCCCACGTGCTCCGTGTCCAGGGATGCCCATTCCGGGGCTGCTGGGGTTGGGAAAGGGGGCTCAGGCTGTGCCCCCCCTCTAACTTCCAGCCAAAGTTGGGCCCCTTTGGCTGTGCTGAAAAGCRAGGAGCAGAGAGTGAAGGGGGAGACCCTTCTGTCCCCGGCTCCGGGAGCTGCTCTGGCTCCCCGTGGATCCCGACTCTTCCGCGCTCCAATGCGGAATGTCCGTGGTGCTGGGAGCGGCGGCGGGAGCGGGTGGAGGCTGCAACGCTGCGGGGGAGCAGAGCAGAGCGCGGTGGGACCCCAGGCATGAGATGGGCAAAATGAAAAGCCCCCACCCTGGAAAGGGGGAAAGGGAAAAAAAAAAAAAAAAATGAAAAGGGGGCACCCGGATTTGAACCGGGGACCTCTTGATCTGCAGTCAAATGCTCTACCACTGAGCTATACCCCCACCCGTGGAAAATCCACCTGGGAAGAGTGGGATGTGTGACAGTCAGCAGGGGCAGTGCGGGGCTGGGGGCTGCACAGGCACACACACACGTCCAATATGCACATACACACACACAGAACACACCTATACAATGCATACATGCATGACAGATACATGTATGATGCATTCATGTATAATGCACGCATGCACACACGATATGCACCTCCCTGCGCGTGCACACGCGGTGCCTGCACACGCTGCAGCCTGCAGCCCCCWCTCAGGACCCCCGTGCTTGCTGATCCCCAGGCTGACACACCGCCTGGCTGGGGCAAAACAGGCCCAGACGGGAAAGGGGAAGGAGAGGAAATGGTGGGTTCCCGCAGAGCAGCTTCCCTGGGGCTCGCAAGGCCAGGGTGTCCGGGCACCCATCAGGATCCCCGTAGCCAAACGTAGGACAGGGATTAGGCKCAGACGGCAGTGTCGGGATGAGCCCCAGCAGGAGGCGGATGGGGGAGTCTGCGCAGGAGCACGGTCAATATTTGCTCTCTAAGCCGCTTCACAAACGYGGCCAAGAGAGCGGGGGCCCAGGCGTCCTGTCCAGCTGCCCGCTCCRGCGCGAGAAGTCAGCCGTCCAGTGGCGCTGGCAGCAGCGAGTCCCACGGTGACTCTTSGGCGATGGAGTGGATTGGGGAGGCCGGCGGGGGCGGCAGCGGGAGCCCCCCCGCCGGCTGCGTCCGGGCTGCCGCTCCAGGGGGTTGTTGGCGCCTTGGCCTGGAGCCGCAGCGGGGAGATACCGGTGCAAACAGGTTGTTTGCAAAGCCGTTAGCGAAGGTGCAAAGCCCGTCACCCCCGGAGATGAGTGGAGCGGGGCGTGGGGACGGTGGGGGCTGCAGCGGGGCACGTGCACCCGCCACATCCCCACTCCGTCACCCTCCCASGGGATGGCATCTGCTCCCTGTCCCCAGCAGCCAGCCGGGCCCAGGGACAACACTGGGAGCCAGGGRCCGGTGCAGAGCCCGGTGCTCCCAGGACTGCCCCGCTGCTCTGCAGGGCTGTGGGCGCTGGATCCAGACAGCTCCGGGGGGGCCGTTTGCTCCAGGGCTGTTTGGCTCCAGGCTGGCAATTATGCAAATCCCTTAACCCCGGATCGCGCCTCCTTCCCCATTAGCTGCACAAACAGTTTGAGCAGCGGGTGCTAAGATAGGCTGGGGGCTACATAAGTGGGGTGTGCAGGGCCAGGGCACCCAGCACCCGCTGCYACCATGTCCCCGGCCACTCTGTACCTCGTGGCTACGCTGCTGCCTGTCGCCTCTGGCTACCTCTGGGCCTGGATGTATTCCCTGCCCCAGCACCYGCCCGGAGAAGCCACCCTGGGCCGGAGCGCTGAGGTGCCGGGCAGCCCCGAGGAGGTGAGTGGGAAGAAGAGGAGGAGGAAGAGCAGGGAGGCAGTGATGGGAGCTGGGCTGCCCCGGGGTGCTGGAGGCAGAGGGGAAGGGTGCAGAGCAGTGCAATGCAGTGCTCAGGATAGGCTGCCCTTGGAGGAGAGGGCAGTGAGTAGGGGCGTTGCAGTGCGGTGCAGAGCAGCAGGGTATTGCACAGTGCACTGCAGTGCAGTGCCCAGAGCGGGCTGCCCTGGGGCCTCGGGGTGCTGGGGAGGAGGCAGCACAGTGCAATGCAATGCAGTGCATCGCAATCCAGTGCAGTGCAATGCAATGCAGTGTAGCGCAGCGCAATGCAATGTAATTAAGTGCAATGCAGCGCAGTGCAACGGAATGCAGTGGAGTCCAGCACAGTGCAGTGCCATGCAGTGCAATGCAGTGGAGTCCAGCACAGTGCAGTGCAATGCAGCGGAGTCCAGCACAGTGCAGTGCAATGCAGTGGAGTCCAGCACAGTGCAGTGCCATGCAGTGCAATGCAGTGGAGTCCAGCACAGTGCAGTGCAATGCAGCGCAGTCCAGCACAGTGCAGTGCAATGCAGCGCAGTGCAGTGCAATGCAGCGCAGTCCAGCACAGTGCAGTGCAATGCAGTGCAATGCAGCGCAATGCAGCGCAGCGCGCAGCCCCGGCCGCCGCTCGCAGCGGTGCGCGCGGCGGGCGCCTGCCCGGGCCGCTCCAGTGGCGCAATCGGTTAGCGCGCGGTACTTATACGGCAGTACACGGAGCTATGCCGAGGTTGTGAGTTCGAGCCTCACCTGGAGCAGGACTTTTACAGGCGCGCCGGGGCCAGATTTTAAGCAAGGATGGAGCGGGAGCCAGCCGGGCTTTCCTCCCCGCTGGCTGGTTTTGGGGAGGGGGCTGCAGCCCCTGGGTGCAACCCCCCTTGGGGGTCCCCCTGGAGTGGTGCTGGACTCTTTTCCCACTGCCTCTCGCCTTCCGCGGCCCGTGTTTGCATCCCGAGGGATCAGCTTTTCCCACAGGACCCAAGGGCAGTTTTGCAGCCCCCCGGGCGGTTTTGCAGCCCCCTCACCCCAATCCTCTGCGCGCCCCCCGTGCAGGTGCCGACGTGCGGCCCGGGCAGCCCCTGCGCCCCCGGGCGCTTCTGCGACGAGCACTTCGGGCTGTGCCTGCCGCGGCGCCCGGCCGGGCAGTACTGCCGCCGCGACGGCCACTGCGCCCCGGGGCTGCTCTGCATGTTCGGCAAGTGCCAGCAGCCCCCCGGGCCGGGCCGCGAGGGTGAGTGCGGGGGGACGCACGGGGAGGGTGCAAGCGGCGGCAGCGTGCAAGGGTGCAAAGGGGGAGATGCAGAGAGGGGGCTGTAAATGGGGGGGTGCGAGGGGGCAATATGCAATGGGGGTTCAAGGGGGGCAATATGCAATGGGGTGCATGGGGGTGCAAAGAAGGGATGCAAAGGGAGGGGGTGCAAGGAAGCGGGTGCAAAGAGGGGGATGTAAATGGGGGGTGCAAGGGGGGCAGGATGCAAGGGGGGATGAAAGGAGGGTGTAAATGAGGGGGTGCAAAGGGAGGGGATGCCAAAGGGAGAATGTAAAGGGGGGGGTGTAAAGAGGGAGATGCACAGGGGAGCRCAAGGGAGGGGATGCAAGCAGGGTGCAAAGAGGGGATGCAAAGGGGGGGATGCAAAAGAAGGGGATGCAA